AGGATTTTTCCTTGACTCTCCAAGGAACTTGTGATTGAAAATTTCTCTGAACTTGTATAAGTATCGCAAGTAAACATCCCAAAAATTTGCAAATTGCAGGTATTATATCAAATTTTCATACACTAAATAAGAACATAAACTCAAGGCTATTCGACAATAATCACTTTAACATGACCATATATGCATAAAGTACATAAATCTCTAAAACAGTAACCAGTACTTGGATCATGACGTAACAAGCTTCTGTAAAGATCAACACAATCTGGATGTAATTCTTCTATGGCACCTTCTCGAAACTGCAGTTCAGTGGATCTCAATATATTCTGGAACAACTGTGTACAACATAGAATCACAATAAACAAGAGAAGCATTTAGGTTTTGATAATAAGCAGATCGAATTGCTCTTCTTAGAAACCAATAATTGATTATTGCCGGTGGCCAGTTGAAACAAGATTGCCCCAATACTCCACAAATCAGCCTGCATATATCATTACATTTATGTAAAAGATAGCGAAAGAAAAAACAAGGGAAGGGAGGGCCGCAAGGAGTAAAAGCCATATAGTTCTTTCACCTTTACGTCATACTTATGATTCTGAATAATCTTTGGAGCCATGTACAACGGTGAAACACAGTGTATCAGTCAACTCTTGAGGTGTCAGGGATCTGTGATACAAGGTTTATCAACTTTTTTCTATGAACAAGTAACAATCCACGCGTTAAAACTTCATATAATTATCTAAATCACAACCTTGATTTTATAATTCTGAACCACGACATCAGGACGTGGCTGACCAGACTAGATAGGCTTTAACAGAAGCATAGTTTTCATTAGTTAAATTTGCTTTATAATTTTACATATATAATATATAGACTGATTAAGTTTTCGTATTCGATCATTCAATTGCTGTATTCAAAGAATATTTCGGCGATTATGAAAATTTCGATTTATATCTTGAGCAATTTTGAAATTTTCATTTTTAAATCTTGAGAATAGAATTGTGGGATTTTGAAGCATAATTGAAATTCATATATACAAATACACACATATTAAATATATTGTTCAACAGGCAATGACAATTGCTGGCCCCCAGTGGTATATAGGTAGCAAATGGTTGACCCCACGAAAAAAATTGACAAATGAATATTCACTAATTTCACTTTCAAAAGATTTTGCTCATAACCCTTTATTGCCAAATCTTTTTTTATATATGTAAAATATATAGTCAAAAGTCACTTTATTGAGAAGGATAATTCGATCAACTATTACAAATTAATACCGCAAAAATTGGACGGTGGGAAGGTATACATACAATTAAAATTTTTGTTAAGGTGTCCTTTTCTGAACATAAGTAATAAAATTATGCCATGAATTAACATGATTGGAAAGTTCTCTTTATAGGACACTAGACTTATCTATTTTGTCCCTCTAAAGAGAAATTAAAGTAATAAAAAAAATGAAATTACATACTAATTTTTAAACCCTATAGTAGTTTGTCTAGAATTTTAGGGTGTCGGTCATGGCTGAATTAGTCTTGAACTGTAATTTTTTTCTCCTTTACATACTAATACTCTCTTACTACGTGACTAGTAAAGTCATTTATTTTCATCAAAGAAAAATAAGGTACTGGTCAATTTATTGATATAATATGTTGAGAAATTGAAATTAAAATTAAACTTTTTGTTTACCGTAATTCTCCATTTCATTTAAAGGTGATATTGGAAAGGTGGAATTAGATTTGGATCAAATACTTTTTTATTAAAAAAAATTTACATTTTAAGTTCGAATAATTTAAAGTTTAAATTATTAAGTTCTAAAATAAAATTAATTCAATTTTGTATTACTTTGGGTTTAATTAAAGAAAATTAAGTTGTTATTTTTTTATCAAATCGGATTAAATTAAATTTAAATTCAAATAAATTGAACATGTTTTTTAAATTCAGATCCACTTTGGTCTTTTTAAATTCATTTTATGATTCAATTTGTTTTATTTATGAATATGTTTACATTTCAATGTTTCTATTTTTTTTTTTTGTAAGCATTTATTATTTTAACCTTTCATTTTATCTTTCAACAATGTAGTGACAAGAATGCATACCTTCCCAACAAGGAAGAATTTGTTGGAAATATTAACTCAAATCTCATAAGAGATTTGTTTGTAATTTATTAGAGATTTGTTTGAGATTTGTCAGATATTGCTTGATGGACAAGAAGACTTACAAAAGAAGAATTCTAAGAGAAAGGAGATTCTTAATAGGTAAGTTTGACTTGTAAGAGAATAATTCTAAAAGGAAAAAGATTCTTAATAATCAAGTTTAACTTACAAGAGAATAATTCTAAGAGGAGAGATTTTTAACGGGTAAGTTTGTATGGTTATGTATGAGAAGGTGCACAAAGATGTATGAGAAAAAGATGTAAAAGAGTTGTAAGATTTTGTGGGATAGACACTCTATAAGAGTATTGGGGTTTTACGTCTTATGGGTGTGTATTATGGGTGTGTATGTTTGTTTGTGAGTGGACTAGAGGAGACTGAGAGTGTCCACATAGGTATGATGTATGAGAGCATATGGGTATGTGTTTGGTTATGTTGAAAAAGTGCACAAAGGTTTGAGTTTGTGTTTGTTTGGGTTGAGAATATTCCATAAAACTAAAGAAGATTGAGAGTGTTTTATGAGTATTGATTATTGAGTGAGGTTAATGATTTGATGTAAGTTTATAATTTTCTACAACTAGTAGATCTTGTCTCTCATCCGTGGATATAAGTTAGTTGGACCGAACCACATTAAATTATTATTTCTTATGTGTTTGATTTATTGTTTGATTTTGCTTCTACTTGTGTGATTGGATTGGAGGTTTTTAGCCCAAGAAAATTATCTTAGTTCTACATCAAAGTTTATCGCCGTCTAACTACCGTTGTTTGTTGTATCAACCTTTCCATTGCTCTATAGCTTGGGTAGCTTGCATAAGCTGACATTATTCATGAGACATGACCCAAAATGAGAACAGATTGATTAAAAGATTGTAAAAGTACATGTAAAAGAAAGAATAATCAAATAGAGTGACAATAAACAACAGGTAAACATAGGAAGAATCTGTACAACATGCTAAAAGGTAATCTGGCAAAGTAGTAGCTATAAAGTATTAAACAAACTAAGAATTGCTTGATTTAAATTCTCTGCAATATGCTGCCGATACTCCAAGCTAAGCAGGTGAAACATTGGAGATTTCTCTGGTTCCTCATATGCAAGCAAAGCCATGAAATCCTGCAGTAACAGCAAAGTCTTTCACTATCACACATAGATTAGAATGAAACAAATAGCCTAATTTCTACCTGGGAAACAGGTTGCAGAGAAGAAAGAAGCGTGGGAAAAGAGATGAAATCGGGCGCAGAGAAAAAATGGGAAATCTGGGATTCAATTGGGGGGAAAAATTAGAGGCGTTAATTTTAAAAATGCCGCTAATTTCTACCTAATTGTGGCGTGTATTGGTTCAAACAGCACCAACTCTTTCCTCAACCTTGAGCTTTTTCAATCTAGGAATAAACTTTGGTATTTTATGTTGCAGCGTTTTAGTGAACAAAAGCAGTTAATTTTTGTTTTTAGTAGCGTTTGTCAATATAAATGCCGATAATTGAAAATTTCGCAGATTTTTTATAAAATTGCTACGATTTTTACAAAAATGTAAAAGTTAATGACGTATATAAGTGAAACGTTCTTAAAAAATTATTTATTTATTTTAATATATATAGGTTTATTTTTAAAATGTTAGGTCAATTCAAATTTTAAAAAAATTAACATTGTTATAAAATATTAATAAATTGATGTTAATAAAAATATAAAATTAAATTTATTAAAACGAGATAAATAGATTAAAACTACGAGATAATAAAAAGATTAAATTAAACTTCTTTCTTACCTGAGCATGAATGAGACCATACCATACAGGAAGAGAGAAGCGATAACTTTTTTACTGAATCAGAAAATCAATAAGGTTAGAGGAAATAATTAGTGGCCTCTAAAGCCCAATCTGTTCGATCTGTTCCTGAATACAATAGTGATTGCAAAACCTTGTGTGGGTTGTTCAATAAGGGACCAGAATGACAATTTGGAAACAACATTTTTTACCTTCTTGTTCTGCGTTGTAAATTTTGGTTCTATTCCACGCATTGCAGAATCATTTCTCCCTGAAGTTGGATGTTTTCTTCTCCAAATCCAAAAAAAAAAAAACCTTATGGAGTAATATATTACGAGGAACTCAAGAAAAACACTGCTGACTGCTACTGCCCACAACTTAGAAAAAATTTTGCAGTACCATGATTCACTTATATTTTTCTTATTTGTATATATATAAAGTCGTGATCTAAAAATAACGAAAAAAATTGTATATAAATGTTTGGGATTTAATTTAAAATTTATTAAATATTATTATTTAAAATAATTTTATAATTAATTGAATTAAACTTTAAATTTAATTGACAAGCTTATTTGCTATTAGTTATGTGTTCAATTAAAATGAAAGTGGACCAATTTATTATCAATAGAAGAGATGGTTTGTCAAATTGACAGGTTTAGTCCAATTCTTAAACAATGACTTGGTCCAGCTTCAATATGATTTGTAAAAATATTTATTATAAAATAATTAATCTTAATTTTATTTTAAATTATGTTTGAAATTATTAATATAAAATATTTATTAATATTTTGATAATAAATTTAAATAATATAAGTAATATGAGCTTAAATGGGCAAACAAGACATCGAACAAACTCGAAAAGTGTTAACAGGATATGGCCCGACCTTGCGTATAAGCCGTTAAACCTGGACACCTCTAAATGCAAATTTTGGTTAATTATTTATGGAATATATGAATATCAATTTCAAAATGTTATTCATTGACGTCTTTAAAGTGGTTTCAATTAAATTACACATATTGTTCAATTTTATTAACATAAAAGTAAAGAAATAATCTAAATAATTTATAAAACATATAAGTGTCTGTAAAAGCAGAGTATACTTAAACTAAAAAAAAAAATGGTGCTTAATTTAATATGATTAAAATAAACTATGCTTTAAACTCTACCCGATTCATAGAAGGAATAAAACAAGGTAATAATTTCCAGCTAAGTAGCACAACAGCCGAAACTGCTGCATCTAAATAAAATCACATCTAGCACAAGTGCTGGTTCAAACTCCTCTGAAATAAAATAATTGGTCTTTTGATTTGCTCTTTCTATCTTCATTGATCAATTGTAGCTGAACTTGCACTTACCAAAACCTGTCAATTTTCATTACAAATATGTTAATAAAAATGAGCAATAAATGTTGTTATAAGATTTTTATTTGCATATTGGAAAGAACAGATTCTGACATGAAATCAAACTTACCAGGATCAACAGTAATAAGCATGGCGGTCCCTCCGAAGTCGCAAGTGCCACCACTCCCCTTCTTGTTTTGCCAGTAGCTGTTGAAAGCATATGATGCATGCGCAATCATTGTGTTGGGTTGAAAGCAGGCTCCGTTGGGTTGAATTGACTTGCAATCTGCACCAGACCCACATGCATAGTCCATTGCTGCTTGGATTACTGAATCTGGAACTGTCGGCTTAGCAACACACCAAACACCAGACGGTGACCCTTTGTGTGGAGGAGGGGGTCCCAAAGGTGGTGGGTTCTGCACAGGTGGTTTATAGATGGGCTGGCCTGGAACATGCTTAGGGGAACTAGGAGCATGTTTTGGTAGGCTGGGTTGATGTTGAGGGGGGCTTGGGAAAATTCTAGGTGGACTGAACCCATTTTCGGGTGGATATGTTTCCGGTGGATTAGCTGGAGGGCTATGGATGTAACTAGGTGGTGGAGGGGTTGGTAGCCCGTAAGACGGCGGAGGGTTGGAAGGTGAATGTGGAGTAAAGGGAGGAGAGTGGTCAGGCTGAGGAAGTGGTGATTGTGAATCAAAAGGAGGTAAATAGAAAGGTGAGTTTATGGTGTGTGGATCAACATTGGAATTGACACGATTTGTTACTTTCAGCTTGTTTATCAATTGGCTGATTGGACTTTTCTGGAGTCTTGAGTCATGGTACTTCCATGAATGAACCGTAATTCTGGCATCTAAAAAGACAAGAAACAACAATTATTAAGTGAAAAAAGAGAAAAACAAAGGAATATATAAGTAGAAGGAATTTACATACCACAACGAGTGAAGAAAATGGTGGCTAAAATGGAAATGCATACGACTGCATCGAGCAATCTTAAACAGTGCCCCCTTGACTCCATGGCTCTAAGCAATGCCTGAACGGAGATGAGAAACTAAGGGATGAACGATGTGTATAAATATAGGACGGTAACAGGCCAAGGACATTTAGTTAACAGGGAAAAGGAGAAAAGAGCAGAAGGTGGGGCAGAAAACGGAATTATCAACATAGGGAAACTAAAGAAGATTCAAAGCCAATGGTTGTAGTCACACTATAACAGATGTGCTACTGCTTGGAATAAATGGAGAGCATTTCTTTTAGCTCGTTAGAATATATGCTTGCTTGGAAATGGAGGAAAATGGGGGAAAAATAAAGAGGTCTTGCACTTTTCTTTTGCTTGCTTTCTACTCAAAGTCAAGGAACACTGTCCGATATCCTCTGGTCTAGAATCCCCGAAAACATGAGTAAACGATTAAGTACGAGGATTATATTGTTGAAACTTGAAAAGACTTAATTCAACAGGAAAAGGGAATTCTATGTTTACATTCGCATTCTTGCAATTTCCAATTCATCCCTGCAGAAGATAGGCAATCTATATTATAGAACGTCGATCCCACTCATTGAATCACTCAGCAGCGAAGTGCAGTTACGCATTTGAAATTTAACTTGAACTCAAGCTTTTATTTTATTTAGGTGTAGTTCAATAAGCCATTATCTGCTCTTAGGAAAGCAAGTTGATGTGTATTGCCATAATAGAAAAGGGGTACAATCAGCATAATAGTAGGGTTTTCTGCTACTCCAATATGCTGTACAAAGTTGTAAGCTGTGCTTCAGCGCTTTTAGATTTTCATGGTTAACTATAAGAAAGAAGATTCAGGTGCATTCATTGATCTCTAACAACAAAAACTGGAAAAAATTTCTATCACATGAGAACGGGTTACTAAAATTATTAGCCTTGGTACCTTGGACGTTGCAGGTTAGAAGAGAATATGAAAGCATACTCCTTAAGTTTGTTCATCGGCCTCCATTTGAAAGCATGTCCAGATATCATCCATTTCCAACAATTTAAGAACATGTTTCTTTCCTTAGTAATAAAATTAAGATATTTGCATAAACTCAATAACCACTGGATGATCAGATTCATAATGTTCAAGGATAAAATCGTGCTAATGCTGTTACAATCTGTTTACCAACGAGTCCAGATAAAGCATCAAAATCAATACAAATTTTGGTTTAGCAGTTAAAAACAAAATCAATTAACCATATCACCAACTTATATATCAGAACAAAATTAAACTTACCGACATTTTCATAGATCAATACCAAGCTAAGAAATTGCAAGAGACTTCTCAATTTAATAAAATGCTTTAAAAAAAAAAGAGATTACAAACATAATACCAGAGCTTTCTAAAGCTGTTTTTAACTCAACTGACAATATGAAAATAAAAATTAATGTCTTTAACAAGTCAAATAGCAAAACACAACCCTCAAAAAAGCAACCTTACTTCTTATCTTCTTTCTCAGCCTCAGCAGCCTTCTTCAATCTGGCACCGATATGGCGCTTATTCATACGTTCCACACGTAGCTTGTTATAGGCCTTGAATGACTTCATCTCCTCTGTGACCTTCACAAGCTCAACTGAAGGCTTCTCACGGCAAATAGGCATGTATGGTCCTTGGACTTGGGTGGCAGTTGCAAGCTCCTCAGCAGTAGAATCACCAGCCTACAGGAACACAAACAAACAAACAAAATTATAAACACTAAACAAGATAAAGGGTTTAACAATTAAGCACTGTAAATAGGGCATAACAGATTACCTTCAATTTGCGAGCACGTCTTGGGAAGACAACAAGTTTGGCCTTGTAAGTCTTAAGCCTCTGAACATTGGCTTGAAGACCTTCAAGAGATCGGTTCTTACGGCGGTGATCAACTGCAATACCTATGGTAGGAGCAAGCTTCTTTGAAATACCAGCAGCCTGGTCGGAAAATAATGTGAGCGCCACATTCAATACAACCACATACAAACCACATCAAATGGGAATTTCAAACTATCTAACATACCTACCATACACTTCCATCCACACACCTACAACAGCATCAATAGCATTCATTGTCCTATTTTCTTTTTAATTCATAACTGTCTAATTATAAACTTGATTGTCAACAAGGGTGCTAATTAAAAACTTGGTCACCTAATCACGGGCCGAGTACCAAATTATTTCTTCAATCACTTGAAATTACTGTTTGCAGTTAAAACGAAATTTATCGAAACTTTAATCCACAAATCTATATTAGAATAAAAAAAAAAACCCAAAACCTAGATCAGGATTGCTACAACTACTGAGAAAAAAAATACTAACTTACAAGATCAAGGCATTCTAAACATAACCCAAAAATCATATAAAAGAAGATGAGAATTAAAACAGTAAACCTTAAGCTCTTCCAGAGTGAAACCCTTGCCAGCTCTCAACTTCATGTTGTACTTCAAAGTCTGGCAATGGACAACAGGGCGAAGAGGTCCAGAAGTTGGCCTTGGAAAGATCCTCACAGCCTTCTTTTGCCTTGCTGCAAAAATCCCAAACCCCAATTACATATCAATTTTAGCCACTCAAGAAACATCATCTTATTTTACAAAAATACACAGAAAAACCCAAAGTATAAAAAACGCACCAATTCTTCTTCTCGCCTTCCTTGCTGGCTGATTAAACCATGTTTTCACATAGTTCTGCCAGTGCTTCTTGAAGTGGCCATTTGGCACAACATTGTTATGCTTAACCATACTTACCTGTAATTTGACCGCAAAAAAAAAAAACAAAACAAAACGTAAAATGATTACGACAATTTGAAATGAAAAATGGGAAGATGAAATTAGATGAAAAAAGCTGAGCACCTTTGAACAAGGGTGACTGGAGGAAGAGATATGGTGTAAAGATTGGCGCAGATAAAAATGATCCCCTCGGCCCTCTTTTTAGGGTTCTCGGGGGAATGTCTTATTTATAGCCTGCTTTGGTTTTTGATCTGACGACTGATTATTAGCCCTAAAAATCTGACGGTGTCAAAGGAGTGGGCCAATATCACGAAGCCCAGAAGAGGCAATACTACTTCCAAATAAAAATAAGAATTAGTTAAATTAAGATACCTTTTTGAAAATAAAAATATGTTAACTTAATCCAATTTTCTAGATTACAATAGCTCAAATTTAAAGATGATTTTTTATAAATATAAAGTTTTTTAGACTTGGCAAATTTATATAAAATATAATAACTCTTAAAGTAAATAATATAATTTCCTAAATTAAAATGACATATATATTAAGCATAAAAGAAATAATTTAAAACATAAAAAATGGTTATAATGAATTTTAAATTTATACCTGTATATAATAACTGTTTCCTTTTAAAGTTTATGTTATCATATCAGCAATGTTAATAAATGTTGATTGAGGGGTTAATTTTGGGATATAAAAGATAATTTTAGGCAAGAAACTTCTTTAGAAGCTTTTTTTTTTTTTTTTCTGACAAGTATTGCTATTTCAAAATCTTGAAGGTTTTCCCAAATGGGTTTTTTGATTTTTGTGTTTTTGGTATGTGCATGATGTTGATATTCAAAGGTTGGTTGGAAAGAATTCTTTTTTATGAATATATTTAAAGATTTAGAATTGCTACTTTTCAAAAGTATAACCTTTTTTAGAGGATAAGATCCTTATAGCTTTTATTTACTTTTTTTTTGTTGAGTTTTGTTTTGTTCTTTATGGAAAAATTTTGTATTCTTTCTTGGTTGAAATTTTTTATTTTATTTGCTAAAAAAGATTGATAAATTTTTGTTATTAGGCTTCTTCCTCTCAGTTAAATTTTTCAAAACTTTTCTCCATCAAAATACGTCATTATTATTGTCATCCATTGTCGAGAAACACTATCAATTTTCATCCTCTCAAGTATCCCCTCTTTGTTATTCTTTAGTTGATTCCTTTTGCACTTGGACCCTATAAACATACCTAAAGAAACTGTAAAAAAAAATTTGAGAAAATGTTTTTAATAGGTTTAAGTACAATGTACAAGGCATGCATGTGTGTGTTAATTTCTCGATAAGACAAACAAAAACATGTGTGTTATTTTAACCAAGCAACATGAAATTTGAACAAAAAATGGTCATATCAATTGTTATACTAGCAAAGCTTTGAATTGGCATGAGATAAAGTTTTTCTTTTGGCATGTTACCTTTTTAGGTGGTACTTGAAATTTTTGTTACTAGCATTTTCCTTTTAGGTTTTGCAGTTTTCCATGTGACTGTTCTAAACATAAACAAATTAATTGATGATAGCGTTATTAGTTACATTGAGCAAGTAGTTATTACACTTGGTTTTATTTTATTATTAATGCATTTTATTTAGCTTAATTTATCATAAAACTTATTTATGTTTTGTTATATTTTTGTTTGGTTATAGTCCCTTGAGACCACTTATCCCGATAGAAGCCATGGATTTGATGGCTTAACAACGTTGGAATTGATAGGAATAGATAGAGTTGGTGTTTTATCAGAAGTATATGTAATTTTAGCTAACCTATAATACAATGTGATAGATCCTAAAGTATGGACATATAATGGTCGAATTGCATCTTTAATTTATATAAAAAACTATAACTTGATGTCCCTAATTAAGGACTCGCAGCAAATTGAGATAATAAAAACACATTTAAGGAATGTTTTGAAAGAAGATAATGATATTCATATCGCTAAAACTTCAATTTTTATTGCTATAATCCACACTAAGAGAAGGTTACATCAAATGATGTTTATAGATAATGACTATGAAAGAATGCCTACTTTGCAACATAGGGCAAATTTGATTATGGTTATTGTGCAAAATTGAGTAGAAAAAGGTTATTCAGTTGTGAATGTTCATTGTAAGGATCGAATCAAGCTTATGTTTGATGTAGTTTGCACATTGACGGACATGTAAAATGTTATGTTTCATGCCACCATTAACACAACTGGGGATAAAGCATATCTAGTACTAAATTGTTGTTGTACTAATCTTTTTTATGATTTTAATTACATAACTTCAATTTGTTGACTTAAACTTATTTATTCTTGTTTAGGAATTTTATATTAGGCACATTGAACCCTGATTAGTTCGAAACTTGAAAGATATAATTAATCCATTTATTTCAATTTGGTTTTCATAAAATAATGTAACTATATAGTATAGCACTTTCATGTGACTCAAATTGTAAATTTGCTTATACAAGTAGGTGTTGATAAAAAAGATAAGAATACACATTTACATGAGCAAAAATATCTTCTATTGAATTCAAAGTTTTGGGGTTTTATTTAAGGGTATCTTTTAGTTTTGAAAACTAATTGATTCTTAAAGTTTTATTGTTGTAACTGTAGGTTTTTGAGGGCTACTCATCTTTATCCTTTTTTTAGGTGCTCAACATGTTCCACTAACTCAAATCATTCTTGTTTTGTGTCACGTTTTTCAATTGGATCTACATTATCCTCAATAAAGTTATTTTTAATGATCCCAACATCATTTTCATCATCATAATTTGAGGAACAAGATGTATTAAGCAATGTGTTAGCTTCATGCTCTCATTGCATGAAACTTCCCATGAACTGCCTACGACAAAACCTCTCAACAAATATAAAACTTCACAAGTTGAGGTATGATTTTCGTGAAATGCAAAAAAATTAGTTTCTCCAAAAGCTAAAAAAAAAAAATTGTTGACCAATTTACACATCTTCTTGTTGCAAATAACATAGTTTATTTTTTTTATTTAAAAAAAATTCAGTGAAATAGTTAATTCCCAAGAAAATTTAGAACAATGAATATGATATTGCAGGTAAAGTCCCTTTGTTTACGAATTTCTCATTGTAATAGAAGTAATTCCCTCATTTTTCTATTGTGCATGCATGTTTAATATAGGGCTAAAAAATAGTAAGGAAGTAATTACTTAGTACTTGGCAATGCATGAAATGCATTTTACGACCTAATTAGGTAGAACAAAACATTATCAAAAGATTAATGAAATACGTTACCTTCTTTGGTGATATAGCCCCATTCAAATTCTAATATGATAATTGCTGGTTAAAATATTGAATTTGTCCAAACAAAGATCCTATTGTAACTCCTAGCTTAAAGAACTTCTTAAAAATCAAGGCAGAATTTGATCCCAAAAAGAAGTTTTGGACAAGGTTTCCCCGTTGAAGGATCACTGTCATAACGTCTAGAGGGATCTATCGCTAGACATTGACTTAAGAGAGTCGCCACTAATCTTTTTTTATCTAAGTGTGATTGGCCACCTAAAGAATCTGTCTTTTCAGGGAACACTTAAGTTTAAGGGTCTCTAAAAGAATAGGTTCAGGTTTACTAACCAGAACAAGGTTCGGGAGTTCGATTACGTGTGAGGAAGGTTATAGCACCCTCACAACGCCCATCAAAAGATGGTACCAGCTTAAATTTGTGTTATCCAATGAGCCTTAAAAATTTACCAAGTGATTAGTTATTGAAAATTATTCTCAATTGACTCTAATACTTTTAGCAGAAAATTGAGAAAATTCCCTCACCTCAGGAGTATGCAAGAAAAACTACTGTTTCACTTGCAGAGGCTCCATCATCGAATTATTTAATATTAAAAAAATAAAAAGGAAGAAAAAAAATGATTGTTTTTGTGCAGGAAAAATTGATACTTTCAAATTTTTCTCAAAATATTTTTTAGAAATTTTAATCTCGAGAAAAATTGATACTTTCAATTTTTTCCCAAAATATCTTTTGAAACTTTAATTTCGAGAAAAATTGATACTTTCAACTTTTCTCCAAAAATATTTTTTGGAAACCTTAATTTCGAAAAAAATTTATACTTTCAACTTTTCCTCAAAAATCTTTTTTGAAAATTTATTTTTAAGGAAAATTGATACTTTTAACTTTTCCTTAAAAACTGTTTTAAAAATTTATTTTTAAGGAAAATTGATACTTTTAACTTTTCCTCAAAAAATATTTTTTGGAAACTTTAATTTCAAGGAAATTTGATACTTTCAACTTTCCCTCAAAAATCTTTTTTGAAAATTTATTTTTAAGAAAAATTGATACTTTCAACTTTTTCTCAAAAATATTTTTCTTTCTCTTCACACCCTATGTCTCTTGCTTGAAGTTGAATTCGACCAATAATTATCAGATCTAACCAAATGAGGTCGAATCCAACATTGTTGTGGCAAAAAATGGCATTATTTACTAATCTTCTCGCTGGTTGTGCCAATCTAGAGCATTTGTAGCTATATCTAATCACTTACAAAACTAATCCAATGTAACAATGACATAATCTACTAATTAATTATGTCAAATCAATATGCTGACCACTAATCCCTATTATAATTGGTTGTATTAGTTATTAGAAAACTTTCATGTTTTTCTTCCTAAATTATAAAAAAATAGAGTTATCTTATTTGTTGCCAAAAGTCAAAAATAAAGTTTAAAAAAAATTTATTTAAAAATAAAACTAAAATATTTAAAAATTCTTTCTTTTTCTTTCTTCCTATTTTCTTTTTCTTCCTCTTTCTCTTTTTTACACTTGATCTCTCTAACTTAAGGTTGAAACTAACTAACAATTATCAAATTTGACCAAATGAGGCCAAATCCAACATTGTTATGGTCAGAAGCACCATTATTTACTAATCTTATCACTAATTATGCCAATCTAGAGGATTTGTAACTATATTTAGTCACTTATAAAACTAATTCAATGTACCAATAACATAGTCATTGATTAATTATGCCATATCAAATTGTTGGCCACCAATTTCAATTACAACGGGTTATATTAGATATTAGAAAACTTTCATGTTTTTATTTTTAAATTATGAAAAAATACTAGTTATCTTAACTATTACCAAAAGTAAAAAAATAAAGTTAAAAATAATTTTCATTTAAAACTAAAATTAAAATATTTTAAAAATTTTCTTTTTCCTTTTTTTTTCTCCTTCCTCACATCCCTTTCCTCTTTCTCCTTCTTGCTTGAGGTTGAATTTGACTAACAACTATAAGATTTAACTGAACGAGGTTGAATCCAACATGTTGTGGCCAAAGTTGTCATTATTTTCTAATCTTATCATTGACAGTAGGGCTGTAAACGAGTCGAGCCGAGCCGAATAGTGAGAAGCTCGAGCTCGAGCTCGACTCACAACTCGGGGTTTGATACTCAGTTCGAGCTCGATCGAGTTTTATTTTTCAAGCTCGAGTTCGATTCGTGATCGAATTCGAGCTACTCGAGCTCGCTCGATTAAGCTCGATTAATATGTAAAAATAAGCTCGATTCGTATACTCGACAAGAGTTCGATTATTCATGCTCGAACTCGAACTCGGACTCGAAATATTTTATTAATTAATATAATAAAAATATATTTAAATATAAAAACTCGATTAGGCTTACGAGCTACTCGAGTCAGATATAAGAATACTCGAATTCAGCTCGATCGATAAGTCGAGCTACTCGAGCTCGAGCTCGACTCGACAATAATCGAACCGAATTCGAGTTTTTTTTTTAATCGAACCCGAGTAGCTTGCGAATACTATTGTATCATTTACACCCCTAATTGACAGTGTCAATCTAAAGCGTTTGTGACAATATCTAGTCACTTATAAGACAAATTCAATGCATAATCTACTGATTTATAATGCCAAATCAACATGTCAGCCACTAATCCCTATTACAGCTGGTTGTACTAAATATTAGAAAACTTTTTAATTTTTCTTCCTAAATTATGAAAAAAATATACTATTTATCATATTTGTTGCCAAAAATAAAAAAAGTAAAGATTTACTTTACTATAATTAATATGGTAATAAATTATATAACCATGATTTTCAAATACAGTCACTTTAATTAAAAAGTTGTATTCCTATCTTTTTTTATTGTCTGAAAAATATCTTACCATATATAATTTTTTTTACTTAATTATGATTATACATTGGATTTGTACAAATCATTAGCTTTCTTAAGACTATTATATATTGCTTCTGAGTGTTAGCTTCAATCATGTTTTATCTTAACCTTTACTTATTATTATTTATGCCTTAACTTTTGATTTCAGGTTATTCACTTGCATAGCAATCAAGATATGTTGATGTATCATGTCGCATGGATTCCACCATCTGATAACTCATGGAAACTCAATTTTGCTGGATGTATTAGACCTATCGGTACTGGCGCTGGGTGCATTCTTCGTGACCAAAATGCCATCTTCAAAGTAGCTTGTGCAGTACCAATAAAAGCTTGTAGAGACCTTGTAATGGCAGAGTTGATTGCTTTGAAACATGGCCTAATTATTGCCATAAACTATGGAGTTGATTATATTGAAATTGAAGGAGATCAACCACTGGTCATCCAAATGCTCCAAGGTCACCAAGCCACACCATTTTATGAAATTTGTAGAGGTGTTCTTCACGAATGCTTTAATTGCATTAAAAATTTTCGAAGTGTGAAAGTTCATCAAATCCATCAATATTCTAATTGTGCTGCAAATGACATTGCTAGAATTGCAACTGAACTCCAAGAACTTTCGTATTGGGATGGCAACCCTCCTTCAGCTATAGTTAATACTTTAGTTACTGATGTAATTGGTCGTTGGATTTCTTAATTTGCTTTTTGATCTCTTTTTTTTTCATCATTTTAATAATGTTACACAATTTTACAAATTTATATCAATGATTGAAAGTTTGAGTAGTATCTTTGAACATGAAAGACATATTCAAAATGTATTTTATTCTTCACCATATTTTTTAACAAATATTTTAACCATTAAAGTATGAAAAAATAAAGAAAAATATAACAATTTAAATTAGTTTGTACTGATAAGGATTAGTAAGGTGGGATGAATGAAAAAAAAAAAAAAAAGAAAGAAGAAAAAAAATAAAACTGAAAATAAAAAAAAATCTCTCATAAATGTAACATCCTTTAATTTTAATTGAATAAATTTATAAAAAAACCACATATTTATCATCCATTCGATAAGGTTGAATAACTAATTAAAAGAAGAGAAAAATGCACTGAAGCATTACTTTTATCATAATATTTCACTTTCTTTTGTGAACCTTTGAAATTGTTTCAAATTTATATACATTTATCAACAAGAAACATGTGATTAAAATATTAATAAAAAATTTCACATGTTTGTCCTCAAGCCCATGCAATAAAATTTATTTATTCTCTAATAGCATGTTGATGATTAATGGATTAGGAGCAACTTACAAAAATTACAGCAATAACAAACTAAGTCTTATATCCCAAAATTCTGGGGTCGATTGTATGAAAGGTTAAAAAAAGAATTATGTTAGGTTGTAATTTTGAATTTTTTTAGACCATTCATTTTTATCAAAAACAATTTTTTCATTTACTTTTTTAACCCTCATATCATTTCTTATTTAGTCTTTCATAAATTCAAAAGCTCATTTCTCATAACTAGTGTACATATAAACTTACGTTTCACATATCCAAACCATCTCAAATTACCCTCTCTCATCTACCCTTAATTTTTCTCATATCTTTTCATTCTAATTTTATCTTTTCTAGTCTTATCACATATTCATCTATGTATCATCATTTCAACTAAACTTATTTTTTTCTCATGTTGTTTCTTAATAACCCAACACTCAGTCTTATATAACAATATAGGCCTTAAAGTTGTTTTATACAAATTTACCTTTAATTTAAAAGCATTTTGTGATCATATAACACATCTAATACATTTCATCACCTCATCTATCCTATTTGAATCCTATGATTTACATTTCTTTTTTATTTCAGTATTGTTTTGAATAATTGATCCTAAATTTTGAAAATGACTATTCTTTGGTACTACATCTCCATCCTACTTTACCACACCGACACTCGATTTGTTATGATTATTAAACTTACATTTCATATATTTAATTTTAGATCTACTCAATTTAAAGCCTTGAAACTCTAGTGTATGCTTTCATAATTCTAATTTCACATTAAGATCATCACGAGTTTCAACAACTAAGATTATATCATTGACAAAAAAATACACCATAACACCATATCTTAGATCCAGTGAGCTCATCCATAACTAATGCAAAAAGAAATGGACTTAGTGTTAAGCCTTGATGTAATTTTGAGGTTATGGGAAAGCTATCAGTCAAGTCCTCAAACATCCTCACATTCATTACAACTCTTTCATATATATCTTTAATTTTGCTAATGTACTTTAAATGAACTTATTTTTTCATTAAGGTCCACCAAAGCATTCTTATGTTTTCTTCAAGTCAATAAATACCATATATAGGTCTTTTTTCTTGCTCGAAAATCCTCCAACATAAGCCTTAATAGGTAAATTGCCTTTGATGTGGAACGTCCTAGTATAAACCTAAATTGATTTTCAAAAATAATGACTTCATGTTGCAATCTACATTCAATTAAATTCTCTCAAAGTTTTATAACATGATTGATAAGCTTTATTCTTCGATAGTTTGAACAATTTTATATATCACCATTATTCTTGTATAAAGGCATTAGAGTACCCCTCCATTCTTTTGGCATCTTTTGAGTATGTTAAATTTTGTTGAAAAGATCCATAAGCGATCTTATCCTTATTTCACACAAGCATTTTCAAACTTTAATAGAGATTTCATTTTGTCCAACTAGTTTTTTTGCTTTCATCATTCTCAAAGCCTCTTTAACCTTATACCTTTTAATATAACCTTTAATCATATGATTTATATTCTTAAATGGTATGTTAAGCTCACCTATATAATGCTCAAATTTACTATTAAAAAAGTATGTTAAGCAACTTAAAAAAATTATTGATGAAAAAATTAAGCTTCATAGGTTGTGAATGAAAATGAAGCATTATGAAAAGGTGATGCATGCAATTTACTTACCGAAATAATTAAAATTTAAGGATTAAAATTTAACCAATTGAAAAGTTTATATCTACTCATGCAAGTTAATCATAATAAATCTATAATTCTTTTTTAGTACATATAATTTTGCCTACCTAAAAAGAAGTAACTCTTTTTCATGTCTTAAATTTCACTCCTAATCTAATCAGCTTGAACTAAATATATCTTTAGATTGAAGTCTTAAGTTCTATAATAACTAAATTTCTCTTTAGAAACTTTGGTATGTGTCTAAACGTTCGCATACATACTTTTTTTTTAATTTACATTTGCACAGCATACTTAAATATCATATTATCATATAAAAAAGCTATATTCTTTTATCCTTTAATTTTTTCATTGCATGTAGAAAATGAATTTGGTCAAGTTTGTTGATTATAATATGATATGTAACCCATAGTTAATTATTTGCTTGTGGTTAGGTTCAAAAGTAAAATATTAAATAATTAAAATGAGTAATTTAGGTAAATTTGGTGTTGATTGTTATTTTTTCTTATATTTTATGGTAGGTACAAGATTGAGAGTATAATACATAAAGAAATAGTTTTAAGGCAAACTTTTATAATATGCAAATGCAACTTTATTTTAAATTTATTTCACTTCACCAATTATAATATGTAACAAGAGCTTAATCAAATTTAAGATACAATAAAATCTTATTTGATAACATATACTTGTGAAATCAAGACTTTTTGTTTGTTTACATTTGTTTCTTATTTTTGAAAACAACAAAGTAAAGAATATGTTTGAATAAAATATCTCTATGTATAAAAATAATAAATAAGATTTTTGACAGATTATAAGAAAAAAAAGTCATAGATAACGAAATTTTGGAGTAGTTTGACTTTAGATTAGTTTCATGACTATAGTTTATACATGTGTAATCTTTTTTGGGACCTTAGACTACATTTTTCAACCATTGTCTAATATATCTTTTTAACTATAATTTTATGAAAAATCTTAGTTTTTTTTTTATTAAGACTACATTTTTTATGAAAATGATAGTATTTTTGTATATTATACTACATTATATAGATTATGATTTTTGAAAAATCGTAATCTTTTTTAATATTAGACTTTTTTTTATATAAAAGTTGTAGTTTTTTACTTATTAGACTAAAGTTCGTGTATATAGACTACGTTTACTGATGTGTATATAGACTATATAAAATCTGTTGACGTGGACATTTACGTAAATAGCTTCATTTTTTAACATGTAAGAAAATTTTAAAAAATATTTTTATAATGACGGATAAAGTATTTACTAATTTTAAATTATTTATAAAAAATATATTTAAAAAATTATTGAATTATCTAAAATTTTACAATTTATTTGTAGTTGAAAATTTTAAATAATTTATTATTTTCAATTTATCTGCTAAAAACTTTAAAATTATTTATCAAAATTTAAATGAAAAATCAATTTAAATTTAAAAAAACTAAATAGATAAAATTACTATTTTTGTGAGATTTTATTTAAATGTATTTATGGATTAAATAAATGTATTTAAAAAATTATTGGTTATCCAAATCTTTTTAAGATATATTCAAATGAAAATTTTTTAATTATCCAAATCTTTAATATATTATCATTTGTATATCAACACTAGAAGCCCTAAAACTTGATTTTTTACTGGTTTTTCATTCAACTTATTTTCGAAACACTATTTCATTTTCTCACAAACTTAATAAAATTTGCATTACTCTTTTGATTCCTCTTCCATTTAGGGTATGGGTTTATTTTTTCTTTTCTATTTGGTTTAGGTAAACTCTTTTAGTTTAACTTTGACTTTTTTTAAACAAATTTATTATAATGTACAAAGCTACAAAAACACATATATGCTTACATTTTCACTACTAATGTCTATGGGCCTTTTATCTTTATGTGGACTCTTCACTTAATTAGGTAATTTTTTTGTCTTTCAATTGGTTATTTAGCAAATATATGAATCATAAGGCATTAATTATGTTGCAGTTATATTCAATGACTATCTTTAGATGATATTATGATAGTGGCATGGTTTTTCATGTTATATAGAGATTGGTTAAATTATATGCTTCCAATTAAATCAAGAGGAAGCAATATCTAAAAAGAATTTTTGTTTTTAAATAAAGTCAAAAGTGTTTAAGTCGTGTAAGTCAATCACTTTTCATTTTATTAAAAGTTTAAATTTGTTATTTAGCTGTTAATAGAAATTGATTCTTCAATTAATTTAATTTTTTATTAAAGTAGTATTTATTTGTTGGGAAATTCGGATGACATTTGTTTAAAAAAAATTAAGGTTCAATGATAAAAGCCACATAGCAAGAAAAAAATTTATGTGAAAAAGTATATTGATATTATAATACTTTATATTATAAGACTTTTGTTATACCTTAATGAAAAGCAACATGCATTCCTAAATGAAATTTAACATTTTTTAATGATGACTCATTGATTCTGTTACCATATGCTTTAAGAGTTTATAGTTCTTGATATTTTCAATTTCCTTTACAGTATAATGTTTGTGTTCTTTTTTCATTGGTTATGACTTGTATTTTTAACTTATTTCTAGATTTGCATAGCAATTAAAATAGATTTTATGCTCTTTTTCATTGTAAATGGAACTTTATGGCTATTTAAACTTTCTTTTAGGACATATACAATGCTGTAATTCTATTTATTTAAGTGAACAAAGTTCTTTTTTTAAACTATTAAAACCACTTATCATTGTCTATTAATATACCAATTAGTTTTTGTAACATGTGTAATCCAATATAATGTTCATCCTTCTACAATATACAAGAGTTTACTTATTTTTTATTAGTACTCTAATAACCAATATTTATCCAGAGTTACCTTCACTTTCCCTATGTAGCAGAAATGAATTTATATGTTTTAGATTGTACAAATTGTGCATTGCATTCACACAATCATATAATGAACTTGACTTATAAAGTTGCATTTAAACCAATTAATTTTAGTGAAATTGTTTAATAATTTTGGCTTGAAATAGTATTGGTTTACAATATTTGATACGTTGCTTTGATATTTATACTATAATAGCTTGCAAATTACCTTTAGAGAACACTGCCTTGCATGAAAAATTAAAATACATTTCAATTAAAATTTAATTTTTTGATTAATCAATCATTACAGATTGTCACAAAAGATAGAAAAGGTTTAGTTTTTTATTGTTAACTAATATGGATTTGGGGCAATTACACTTTTGTTTTTAGTTTGAATGTGAATTCAGTTTAAGTGCTTCAAATGCGTACAATTATTATTCTCTATCCTTTTAAACGTGCAAATCTGTTGTTTGCTTGATATTAGAGTTTTTTTTTGGTTTTAAGAAAAAAAAATAGAGCTAAGTGCTTACTTTAAGTCGATTAAGTTTAAGTATTTGATATGTTGCCTTTTGAATTGTATTTTAACCAATTGGACACCATATATACTTATAATTGCATTCAAAGGTAAAAGAAACAATTTAACTTTATTTATTTGCTATGTTGCAGAGATTCAACTTGGCATCATTAATTTGCCATAAAAGGTTGCTTATCGATGTATTTTTTTTTTTTTTTTTGAAAAAGTGAGGGCTGAGAATATTTGCAAACTAAGATACTTTTCTTTACGTGAACTGACATATGATTATAAATATGTAATTTTAAATGGAACATTGGTACCAAACTTTGTTATCTAATTATGTACTATGCATGTAGCTAACTATTTGGTTCAATGATATAATTTATCTTTTTTTTGTTATCTTTGTTTAGTTTCAATTCTTTGAATTAGAAAACATAATCAACTGATGTTAACAAGTTTAAAACAATATTTGTATACTGTTTAGAGGGCAAATACAAAATGTTGATTTTGTTGATTTTATTTAATTAAGTTAAGCTAAAGTTGAAAATCTCATACTCTTTTAAATGCGTTGTTGCATTCAATGGATTAGAATTAAGTAAGAAATTTGTTATATATTAAATGGATTATAGTAAATCTAGCATAATATATATATATATATATATATGAATGGCTAACTTAATTTCCTTATTTTAAAACTTTGAAATAACTCTCATATTTTAAATGTTTTAATCATAATTTACCTTTTTCTTTGTTATCTCTATTTAGTTTCAATTCGCTTGAATTAAATAAAATATTTACTATAGAAGATAGATTACAGCCATTAAAAAGATATAATATATTTTACAAAATACATATTATAATTTCTAGTGCAAATACAGTTAAATTGTTGGTGATTCTTAAGTCTAAGAGTATTTGACACTAACAAAAGAAGTCATATCTTCCAAAAAAATGTTATTTGCAAATAAAAGATTGATAGTTGATATTGTTCATAGCATGAATAATAATTCATGCAAGGTAAGAACTATGGATGTTAGTTAAATATATTTCAAATTAAATATGTATAAAATTATAATTAAGAAAAATACTTCTTACTTTTACTACCAACAGGAGAAAAAGTTCACTTGTTAAGGTCCTATAATACAAATCAATACAAGGTATGTATGGTACCATTTGTCATGTGCAATGCATCAAAAAAACGTATTAAAAGTTGACGGAGGTTATACTTGCAAGGATTGTATACATCAAATCCAACTTCCAGTTGTAAAGTATCATTAAATCTCATCATCATTATATGTCAATTTTAACTAAAATTTATTGAGATATTTTTAAATAAGTAATTTTTTTTTAAAAATAATCGCTTGGATTTTTTTTTTTTCGTTTTTCAATTGAAGGTAAGTTTGATTATTATTAATATTCCATAATAGGTGCAAGTTAAATGTCAACTTATAAGATGGGATTAAGAATGTTCCATTTGTCTTTTTTTATGAAAAAGCAAATTGAATTCTAAATTATACAGCTAAATAGTTATTTCAAATGAAAAATGAGGTTATATCATTTTAGAAACAAGTTTATAAATTCATATGAATATCAATATTATTTAATTAAATTTATATAAAACTCACTCACATCAAGATAGACATACTAAAGTGGAAAAAATATTGAAAGAGTTAATAGGTCGTTCATATATTTTTGAAGTAGAACTCATTGATTACAACTTTTGTCATGGAAGTTCAAGATTGACTGTTACATATGGTCATGAGATACTTTAAGCAAAAGAAAGTTAGTATTTACTTGAAAAAATATAAAAGGTAAGTAGTTTAATACATTCAATTAAAACCTTTTGCCAATAATTTTTAAATAATTATTTATAATTTAATACTATTACTTACTCAAAATTTAAAACTATTTCATTTCAATTTTTATAGGAACATAATTCTACATTGGATGTTAACCTCAAAACAATAGAAAGGCATAAATATTTGAGAAGTCAATAGATGCTGAAAATCATGATATTACTAAAAACGACAAAAAAAAGTACATACAAGTAAGTTATTACGTATATTATTTAAATATTTAAAATCATTATTTCTTTTAAATAAATAAAACTTATCTTAAATTATATAAATTTGTAGCTGTATAAAAATGATAAAATAAGCTAGAGATAATGCAAATTGAACAAAGTTAATTTGAAGTGATAAGACTTTTAGTTCTATTTTAATACTTTGTAGGTGTACTTAATAGTATTATTTACAATATCTTCTAGATTTTTTTCTTTATCTAATATTATTTATTATATATTTTAGAGTTTGTCAATTTTTTAATTATAAATTTTATTTTTCATTATGATTGTATTTATATTTTACACATATTTTGAACATGTAAATGATTCAATAATATTAATTTATGTTTTTATTAAAATTTAAATAAAATAAAAATAATTCGTGCATTGGATGAGTAGCAAGTTAATTTCTTTTATACTATACTATAGTTTCATTATTGACTACAATATATAGACAATAAACTACAATTTTTTTAAAAATTATAATATTTTTATATTAGATTATATTTTTTATAAACAAATCGTAATAAGTTTGTATATTAGTTTTCTTATGTATTAGACTATGCTTTTAATTAACCTTAATTTGTGTTTATTAGTAATTAACATAATTGTCAGGCGCATTCCATGATTATAAAGGAATAATGGATTTTTTTCTTAAAAGGTAGTTTACATCAAAGCGAGGGTACTTTAGTTATTCCCATCCAAACTAGAGTGGTGAACCAAAATGAATCTTAGAGTTTCACATCAACTTAATCGGCTTGACCTTCCCTATGAAAGCACATTAATATATTAACTTATCATTCTTTAATTAGATTTTCACTAACTAAATAAGGTTAAGCGAATGTTATTAGCCAAAAACTCGATTTTCTAAGCTCAAGTCATTCAGGTTTAACACTCTCACTTTATAAATATAAATAAATCTCTCATTTTAGGTACGGGCATTCAATTCACTCTTTCTCTCTCTTCCTTGAATTTCTCTCATTCTCTCTCTTTTCAGATATTATCAAAATACAAATATTAAAAAAATCTCTAATCTTTGCTTCTAATCAAATATTATGATTTTAGGATTTTAACCTTACTAGATAACTCACACAAACAATAACACGTATAATCAATATGTTTTTTCTAAAAGTCTATAAGAATTAAAATAATGCATTAAATATAAAAAAAAAAAATGCATTTCCCTTTTAAATACCTTAATCCGTTAACCCGCATTCAAGTAAGACGGGTTAAAATTGTTTAGAAATTCTAATCTGTCTCCTTTTCTACGAGTTTCTTTCTCTTTCTGAATAAATATATATATATAAAAAAAAAAGAAAACAACAAAGGGTAGAACAGGAAAGAGAGATTAAAAAGACGTGGATAATTCAGGCAAATCACTGTACCGCTAAAAGTCATCGCAACGGTCACTTTTTGAGCTTTTATGTCTGATTTGTTATTGCCCTTCTTCATTTGCTTGAAGAAACGGAAAATAAATACAACGTTCTCAAAGCTTTGAAGCAAAGTTTTAAATGCAAATTCCAGCCATGAATGAGCAAGAAGAACAAGAGAGTCTTATCATGGCTACAGCCAAAGTGGTGGAGTATTTGGAGCCATTGATGTCAAGAGAGCTTCTTTGCAAGTTCCCAGACAACTCTGCCTTTGATTTCGACTATACCCAAAGCTCGCTCTGGTCTCCTTTGGTCCTTCGTGCTTGCAGCCCTGCAGATTTGGATTTTAATTCAATTACACCTAGGAAGCTCGCTTTTGAGTCTGGGTTTGGCTTGGAGTTGGAGAAAAGCAAGAGTAGTGCAAAGAAATTCAGACCCAACATCAAGAACATGGCCACCTCTGCTTTCAACCTTAATCTCAATCTTTTGAGAAACAGCAACAATAAAAGGAAGAAAATGGTTTCTGATTTTTCTCCAACTCCTGTCAAGGGCGGCTGTGCCCCCATTATTACTAAGGTAAAAGTTACTTATTTTCATACTTTATAAGCTCATAATAAGCTTTGCTTAGTTGCTTTATGGGATAGAACTGTTATACTGTTGGAAATTAAACAATTGAAGAGTGATTTTCAGATTGAGTTCTTTTTAACACGTGTAGTTTGAAGCAAAAAAAGGAAGCAAAAACAGAGTTACAATGCTGAAATTCACCATTTTGTTTTTTTCTATAATAATTTTGTCTTGCAAACCGTATTCAGGGGTGGAGTAAGATGCTGAAAGCTGCCTCCAAGCATTTCAAGAGAAAGAAAAAAGAATCAACGGTCCACGTGAAGCTTCCCAACTATTTGAGAGATTGAAATGTTTGAAGACTATCAAGATATTGATTTGTTCATTGTTTTAGTTAGATAAATTAGCATGTATTCTTATTCGTTTCATTCTTTTCAATTTTAAACAAAACCGCCATTTTAAAGACATGATCTCGAGCATGTCAAGTGGTTGTCATTTTTCAATTTGTTTTAATTCAGCAGAAAAATCTTGACAATTGCATTATTTATGATGACTTATTCAATTTAAAGCATACATATTATCTATCTAGTGAAAGGAATAAACATTTTCAATTAAGGTTGTTGAAGTAATGTTATTTCACATCTATTAAATGTTGAGTTTTTATTTTTATTTTATTTTTTTGTGATTTTATATTTAAGCTAGATGCTTATAATGGTATTAAAATTTAAATTCTTTTTTGTAATTTTTATTTTATTATATACCTTTTAAAATTGTCAGTACATGTATCAGAACTTGTTAAAGGTGTTATTTAGATATGTTAAATATTGGATATCAATTGATTTTTATTATTTGTTAGATCCTTGAAAAAGATTAAAGAAAAACATTACAACCCTAATCATTTACAGCCTATAAGCCAAATTTATGACTCCAAAACTATGGAACAGAGGGCTGGAAGAACAGTTTTATATTTGATTTTTAATTTTAATGATCATTTTAAATGATTGATATTTCTTCTACAACAAATTTAAATAAAAAAGAAAAAAGAAATGAAAAATCAATTGCTAGCAGCTGATTGCCCAGAGACTTCAAGGCCACACCCATCCTCTCCATGAACTGGCCCAAAAAAAAAAAAAAAAATCCTCTCCATGAAGACCGGCGATAGCTAGAACCGTGTTCATGGTTTTCTGGTTTGGTTATTAGATGTTTTCTTGGAAGCTTATCGGATGGTTGATTTGGAAACAAGAATGATACGTAACAGAAATAACTGTCAAGAGGTTTCCGAGATAAGACTATGAAGTTCAAAGCATGCTCTAACATTTAAGTCAACAAAATATAATAAGTGAAAGAAGGTAGCGAGAAGGTAAGCGAGCAAGTGAAAATGAAATAATCAGTGACGGATCTTAACAGGAGGTCAATTATATTATACTTAATTTTTTTTTATTTTCTTATAAATTCTATCACATATATCTATTAATAAAAAATAATCAAGCACAAAATATATTAATAAAATCAACCATATAAATTGTAGAATAAAAATATTACAATAATAGAATTAAAGATTTTAAGAATAATACTTTCAAATTAGTAGATAGAATTACTAAGTGTATACTCTTCTAATGACATAGAAATTTTCTTTCTTTATAATTTAGAATTGAAATAAAAAATAAAAATAAATCAATTGTTAAATCATATTTTTTATAAAAACAAGAAAAATAAATATAATTTTAAAGGAATTAAGTTGAAATTTTAAGATTAAAAGTTATGATTTTTTTCTAATTTTTTTTAAAAAGGTTAGAATCCGATTTTTTTTATTATTAAAAAAGATTTTAAGATAATATTGGATAGAGATCCAAAATAAAATTAAAACTTTATTGAAAATTAGAGTCCTATTGAAAAAATTAAAAAACTAATTTGATTTTTTTAAGTTCACATAATTATAATTTAAAACTTATAATAAATCTCTTAATTTAAAATTTTTTAAGCAATTATTAACTGATTAGTATAATAAATAGACAAATAGTAATATGATTTTAATCTTTTTTTAATGATAATAATACATAAAATTAAATTATAAAACCATAAGAATAATAATTTTAATTTAATGCAATTATATATACACATGCTGAAAATACTGATCGAATGGTTGTCTTTTAAGTAACCTCACTTTAGTTTCATCCTCTTTATATTTACTTTTTTTTTTTTTTTAATTACTACAATGGGAATTCTCTTTTTTTATTGCTACTTTTGTTATGTTTTCTTTTTTACTTTTAAAAGTGAAAAAAAAATTATAAAAAGCACATGCATACATTTACTTATAGTTGAAAAAATAATCTAACTTGTATATTGCTACATATTAAAAATTGTTTAATTTACTTAGTTACAACTATTTTCTTTAACTCTTAAGAAAGTAAGAAATAATTTTAAAAGAACTAAAGTAGCATAAGAAGTATTAACCAAAATAATTTAAAAATGAAAATTTAGTACTCTAATAGTGGTAATATTTTTTTTAATGAAAATATTTTAAATTTAATATAAACCCTTGAACTTTGCTAAAAAATCAAATAAAATTTTAATTTTTTATTACATGAAATTAAGTCTATAACTTTTTATTTTATTATAATTATAATCATTATTTAAAAAATAAATGAATCACATTCAATTGATAAAATTTTTAAAATAGTATTTTTTAAAAATATTTATCATTTACTTTGTCTAAATAAATTTAATTTTTTTATAAATTAAATTATTTAACTAAGAAATTTAATAAAAATAATATTTTATATTGTTCAGATTCTAATTATAATAAAATAAAAATTTTAATTTTAATTTCATACAAAATAAAAGATAAAAAAAATTATTATTATTGTTTTTAATAAAGGTTGAAGGTTTATTTGTGCATTATCCTTATATTATAAATATTTTTTTATCAAGTCAAAATGTGTAGCAAGCACAGAGACGCCTTCTCCGTCTTGGCAGGCACATCGCGCACACAATCGTCAAGACAAGACCCGCTTCGCCTGCTTGCTACAGGCGGCTTTTTTACATTTTAGCTTACCTTCCATTTCATCAAAACTTTAGCCGCATCAACCCGACCACGACCATATCTTCTTAACAGGTAATTCTCCAATCTTGATAGTATTGTCTGCCTATAAAAAAAACAAAAGGCAATCAAGGGTTTTCTGGAAAACCTTCCAACGACTTCTCTCTCGAACCTTGCTTTATTTACAATCCGCCCTATCCGCTCTTTCGACCCCCTTCACTCTGATCTGGAAACCAATGTTTTTGATCATCTGACGCTGTTCTTCTTGCGGAAACAGATTATGTGCTGCGAATTAGATTGGGCAATTTCGAGGAAATTGTTTAACACCCATCACTTAACAATATGAGCTTCGAGCCATTTAACAGGTATATCCTTTTTTTACTTCAAATTAGCGCAATAGAGGGTATAGGAAAATAGGGTTGTTCATTTTCTTATTTAATTTTTTCCTTATTTAAACTGGAAAAACAGGTTAGTGAAACTTGCAGGTCGGGCGTTTTATGATGACGTGACAACAAAGGGAGATAATCAGCCAAAGACGGGTCGGGGTGATAATAGAGGGATTGCTGTAGTAGTGCTTGATGCTCTTACAAGGTACTGTTTCTTTATTCATATCTTGGCAACAATTAAAAATGGTTTTGTTTTTAGTAATGAGGGAAGGGAAAAAAAAAAAAACCGGTTTTGTTTGTATGAGAAATGGGGAAGTTAGCGTTGACGTTTTTCTTTTAAGTGAAATTGAGGCATATTGAATTGGAAAAATAATGCCTTGGTGCATTTTTATTATTTAAAATAGAATTATAGAAGTGAATTTCTGTTAAAGTTGTGATCTTCTCTGGAAGGAAAGCACATTTATAAGCATTGGAAATTGACTATCTTGGAATTTGAAACGCAAGGCATTGGAATATATTTTGTAATAGGTATAATAATAAGGTGAAACTGAAGTGTTAAATTAGGCCAAGTACTTTGGCAAAGTGTTTTTCAGTTCAATTAGAAGTCTCGCCATAGGAGGTTAGCATTTAATAAGTCTAGAAAGATATATTTAGTTATGTCATGATGCCAAATATATGCCTGTTGCATGCAATAGCTATGCCTGCCAGTTTGAGCTTCTCTTTAGGCTTACAATTTGCTAGTCACTTTGTGTTGTTATTGTAATTCACAATTTTTGCTTTCACTTCTAGGAGACAATGGGTTAGGGAAGAAGATTTGGCAAAGGAGTTGAAACTACATTCAAAGCAACTTCGGCGGACTCTACGGCTCTTTGAGGAAGAAAAATTAGTCACCCGTGATCATAGGAGAGAGGTTAGAGTCTGCTATAATTCCTTTTCTTTTCCTTCACCTGTACGGATGTTTCTTAGTTGTCACTCTGCTTGGTTTTGTAGGTAAGATTTCTTTTGTATTTGTTCTGAATCATTGCTGCCTTGTAACCTATTAATTTTCAAACATATACTAAGCATATCAAAAGATTAAGCCTCGCTTTCTTTTCCCTTGTTTTCTGTTTTCAGTCATACTTTATTTTCGCATAGAATTGAGGCATAGTGGTGGTGTTAGTGGCCAAAAAGTCTATTTTCCATTTACTTTTTATATGTTTTATTTATTCATTAAGAGTTGGGAACATTTCTTGGTTGTATTTAACCCTTTTACTTTTGCCTGCATACTGATGTTTGATTTTGTCACAGACGGCTAAAGGAGCAAAGATATATAGTGCTGCAGTTGCTGCGACAGGCGATAGTCAACAGGGTGGGAAAGATGGAGAGGAGAAGATTAAGCTGCATACTCACTCTTACTGTTGCCTGGATTATGCACAGGTTGCTATTTTTATTTCTGTTTGTTCTTTGCTTTTTCCAATTCTGATCTGCAAAGATTGATTTGTTAATAATGGATTGGATAGAAAAGGCATGGGACCTCTTTTGCCTTTTTATCCATTTTATCTTGTGCAGAGCAGATTCCGGCTTCTGAGTTTGTGAAATCTCTGAAACAATGTGTTTTGTAGACATATGATGTTGTTAGGTATAGATTGCATCGAATGAGGAAAAAACTAAAGGATGAACTTGAGAACAAGAATACTGTTCAGGAATATGTGTGCCGCCCTGGCTGTGGGAAAAGGTTTCTGCCACTGCCTCTCTCTTTCCATCTCTTTCTCTTCTCTTTTTTCTTTCCTTGGGTCATTTGAAATGCATTTTTGGCTAGTGAATTTGTAATGAAAAAATTGAAGTTGTCCTGTTATCATGTTTTCAGATACAATGCATTGGATGCACTGCGGCTGGTTTCTATGGAGGATGAATATTTTCACTGTGAAAGATGTAATGGAGAATTGGTGGCAGAGAGTGACAAGTTGGCAGCACAAGATGGAGGAGATGGAGATGACAATGCAAGACGACGACGACGTGAAAAATTGAAGGACATGCTTCAGAAAATGGAGGTATTTTTTCTTTCAAAGTTCCTGCATATTACCTTATATTGCATATACATTTGTACTTGAATAATTATGCGATCTATTGAGATACGAAATTTAATCCCCTTATGAGTAAGTTAACAAAATTTTTAGTATGTTCACAGTTTTTTTAAGTACTTTTTGTACTGTGAAAAGGATGTAATTCACATAAGATTCCTTTTTACTGGCCATAATTGCTTTGGATGTTGTTGGACTTGATTATAGTATTGGCTCAAATCAGTGAGGTCCATTCAAATTCAGCTTAATTCTTTGTCCTTGGCTTCCGATTGTGAATGACTCCGGTGTTTTGCGTGAATTCTTCTTGAAAGGGAAGAAAAAAAGGAACTTAATTATCAAAGTAGTAATTCTTTTCGATGAAACCCATGTAGCTGTTAGTCTGTTGTGCCCATGTAGTGTAGGAAACACATTATTCGAATGATGTGCAGGGGGATAGAGGAACAGGTTATGTGGCTTGAAGTTTACTTTGCCCATCTTGAAATGTTTTGTTCTAGTTTTCACTGGTTGATTCTGCCAAGTCAGATGACACTGGTCCATGAGGGCTTGCACTTTTGAATTCATTTTTAAAACTATGTAAATATGTGAGCTTGTAGGCAAAATAGAAATCTGGACACCTAGCTTTTTGTGTTTCCTGAAAAGCTAGATGTTCAAAGGGGTGGAGCAAAGGCCATAAGCATTAAGCTTTGCTTTGTATGAATGCAAATGATTCTAGTTTCTGCTAATCTTTCCCACTGAAATTTATTAATTCTTTTTGTCTTTGTTGTTTTCTTTGTCAATGGTTTTCTATTTTGTACATGTATGCAAGATATTTTATTGTGTGTGAGTTTTTTTTTTTTGGTGGGTGGGGGGATGGTATGTTCATACTGTCTAAAGTCATATTTTCTCCCTTCTTTTTATTCCCAATGGAATTTCATATGAGCATAATTCAATAGCAAATTGTCTGGGCGACTGCTTTTATACATGGTTTGAACTTAGTGTTTGTAAACTGGTGTTCCATTGTGCAGTATTTGCAAGACTTAATATCTGCACTTCTTATTGTTATTTATGTGTATTCTTGACATTATATCTGATATTTTTGTCAAAATTTGCTATTGATTACTGCTACGCTACTGTACTGGATGATGATGCCATTTTTTGTTGATTATTTGTTTTCTCATGTTCTTGTATTTTGCTTACTCACTTGTCAAACAAGGGAATCCTACAATAATAACCAGGGGAGAAAATAGACAAATAACACCAGGCCAGACATTCATTAAATCAATAAAATCTAAAACTGATCTGAAGAAATTGGAAAATGAAAAGTATTCATTCAAAGCTAAAAGAAGTTGCATATGTGATTTTCTTCTGTCTTTGTTTGAAAGACGGCTTGAGTACCACAAGCTATGCATATTAAACCTAAACACAGAAATAATGGAAGCAATTATCAAACATAAAAAAAATGACTAAGGTTTATTCAATACAAATACAGTAACTATATATGCCTTTAAGATGGCAACCAGGTTAGTTAATTTTAATGCTAGTTTATTAGATAAGCCTGGTCCATTACAGGTATATAAAGTTGGCTTTAATCTGGGCTTAAATAAAGAATTAGAACAGCAACAAAAGCTCTTGACAAACATCAAATTATAAACAGTTGAACAAATTAACTATCCTTATAGCTCATAAGCTCTAAAAGAAATTAAAAGGTATAAATTGAATAATATTGGTTATATGCTATAACCTCCAAACGTCTTCTTTAAATTCACTCTTGTCTCTTCAAATAAACAATTTTCTTGAAAACTCTGACCTAATCATTCAATCTCAAAGTAAATAGAAAGGACTAAGAGGATTTGGATGTGTAGTCAGCCAAATCCTTTTGCTCTCCCCAACCCTAATCACTAATGCTTGATTAATAAATAACAATTTGTTAATCCTTTTTGGTAGCAAAACACAGTAGTTCCATCATTCAGGAAGCACCATCAGACATGATCATAGATCTTCTCTATGATATATGGTGGCTACCTAACCTGAATCTAAACATTGATGAATTTTTACTGGGTTAGATGTCATTCCATAAGCCCCACTTACACGTCTAGTATGGCCTTTTGTTTATTCCTGTCAATCTTGATCTTATGATGAAACAGCAAGAGACATTTAAGCTCCTCTTAAATCTTCTTGTCTCAAAGAATCATGAAAAAGCAATACAATCCTAACATATTAATTCACTACCTCATGGAGAGCTTTTGGGAAAAACAATTTAAAAACTGTCCTGCCCTTGGATTGTTCATCTCTTTCACCACACCAAAATTTCCTTACTAAATAGCAGCAACAACCAATTTTGATCATCATCCCTAATCCTTTGAATTCCATTGTGTTTAACTTATTTCTTGTTTTGCGGTATATGTTTATAGAAATATTCAAGCCTATTTTGACTTCATTCTTTCCATTATGTGAATTTTTTATGCCATTTTTGAAGAGTTGACTCAATGAAATGATTGCAGGTACAGCTTAAACCATTAACAGATCAACTTAATAGAGTAAAAGATTTGCCTATTCCAGAATTTGGAAGTCTCCAAGCGTGGGAAGCTCGAGCAAGTGCTGCTGGGCGTGCCGTAAATGGTGATTCTGGTTCTAATGATCCTTCCAAAAATTCTCAGGGTTATGGTGGAACACCTATGCCATTTCTTGGGGAGACAAAGGTAATATTTACTTGAACTGTATTTCTCTTTGTTGTCTACTATGAGGTGCAAATGCTTAATATTTACTAATAATTATGTAATATTGATGCTAGACTTTGGCATATTACTTCTGCATGAATTATTGTAGTTTAATTTCCTAGAAATTTTTTCTTTGAATGGGTATACGAGTCATGTATCCACAATTTATGGAGGTTCAAATTTGTTCAAAATCTTAAATTTAGTATTCATAAATTTTCTTGCAACATTCTAACTTAACTGAATGCATCTGTTGCCTCTGTGAAAGGTAGTAAACCCTTACTTCTCATTCAACCAACCATTTATGCTGAAACAGATTTCCTTTTAGACCATAACTATTCCAAAGATTCATTTTTGTAAGCTCTGCTGGAGTTATTAATGTCATAAATCAATTTTCTTCATCCAAACTATCAGTGTATTTTCAATGCTTAGTATTTTTTTTTTTTTGAAGTGCGGATTTTCTATTCTTGTTATTTTTACTAGAGATTTTCCTCTATAATGTTGGGCATGCCATTTCTTAATTTCAAATATTGGATATTCTACCATCAACTTGGATCGCTTTTAAAGCTTCTTAGGCGTGCCTGGCAGGTTGAAGTTGCCTTTTCTGGTCTTGATGGCAAGGAAGATGTCAAATCTGAAAGTGCAGGCACATCCTTGAAAGTTTTGCCACCTTGGATGATAAAGCAAGGAATGAACCTGACAAAGGAACAACGTGGAGAGGTCAAACAGGAGTCAAGGATGACAGATGACAGTTCAGCACAACCAGATTTTTCAGATGACAAAAAGTCGACTGTTGAAAATGATGATAAGAAGAATATACAGGTATATACAATGAGATGGATTATTAGTCTTTCCTTCCTTTTGTCAATGCCATCTAGTGCTTAGATTCATTTTTCTTTCCTTTTGCTCCAACTTAAAGTTTTTAATTTACTAGAATTTGACTTAGTTTTTTCTTTCCTGTTATAATGAAGGACGAGTATCTTAAAGCTTATTATGCTGCTTTGTATAAGAAACAACAAGAACTAGAAGAAGCTGCTAAGAAACAACAAGAATTGTCAGACATTCCTCTAGCCACTGATCTTTCTGACTCTTCCAAGCGTCAAGTTGGCATGAAAGTTAAACGTGAAGACAATCTGGGAGATGATGATATTGATTGGGTAGAAGCTCCTGTTGCAGGTAAGTGCTGATTTTTATTGTATTCAGAATATAACTTGGTTTCTTAAAAAAAAGAAAAATGAATATAACTTTGTTTCTCTTTGATGACTATGAAACTGTCAAAATTAAATGTTTAAAATTACTTAACATTTGTAATCATGTTTCATGTTCAGTTGTTCATATAACTATCCCTTCAAAATAATATTTAATATGCAAAAATGCTATGAAAACCTTTCAAGGGAACTTACTGCTGAATCTAGAATATATTTAGCCATTTCAGAAGTTTTATGAGTAAGCCATCAATATGATTTAGTTCCTTTCTCCTGCCTTTCATTGTAATTCATATAGCTGTTTTCATATGTTATATACAAATTGAGTATCATATATATAGAGTGGAAATCTCATATTTTTAAAACTTCAATATTTGTTGTTGTCCAACATTTTTAATTAAATTCAGCTGTTAAATTTAAACAACATACCAAAGTTTATACCCTAAATCATGAACTATTAACTTAGAACTAGAGACTAAAAAAATAGTACTTCTTTTGGCTCAAATTGCATGTCCACCTTTCTGCTTTAACCATTTCAAAATAATGCCATCTTCCCAAAGTGGAAAGCATTTTTTGAATGTTTTCTTTCATTGAAATACAACTGTATGTGGGCCCATCTAGTTTTTGTGACACATGAAGGGCAAAAGTTGTCAAGCAAGGAACAAAATACATAAAAGCGGACATTTGATTTAAGATTTAAATTTTCCTATTAACTTTCAATACCAGTTACAGAAGCAAGTTGATATACGTTTTAACCTCATGCCATGTGTATGCCATGTGTATCTTTCTGATACAAAATGTGTTAGGCTGATCATAAGTCCATGATTATGATGATGCATTCCTTAGTAAATATCTTCCTCTACACGATTTCAGGCAATACAACTGAGAGTTATAAGGTCAGTGACTTAAATGTTGAAGCAGAAGCATCTGGAGATGATGAGGATGATGTAGATTGGGAGGAAGACTGAAAGACAGCATAGGTTTGTTTGAATGAATGGTTCAGCTCACCTTGATCTGCACGGCATTAGCAGAGCATGGGTAATGGGTGGTGTAAATGTTGCTCTCTATTTTTCATATCTTCATGTGCTCTTTCAAGATCTTAAGCCTTTCCAGTTGTTCCTTGGTATTAATTTCATCCCTGATTCCTTGACTTTGTGCCAACAGTGGCTGTGGGATGTCAAAAAAATGATTTTTGTGGTCTTAGAAATGGATTTCCACGATGTTGTCTTGTACTAAACTGTAGGCAAAGCAGTAGCGTAACAAAGACATTTATAGTAACTTTCATGTCTGTTTCAGCTGTACTTTATACGTATAAATACTTTGGGCCCACAGATGCAATGCTGAATAAGATTTTTATTTTATTTTTGCAAAGAGGAAGGTCGTTAATCAACAAAATGAAGGCACAAAGAGGCTGCCTTGGTACAAGCTTACTGCACTATAACAATGCTGAGGAAACGATTGTATTATTTGCCTAGTATGACCTTAATCAATTCTCCGAAAGAAGCAAATGAAGATCCACCATACATCACAGCTTCTCTACTCTTTTAAGCCAACTCCTTGACCCTCTTTCTCGTCTCGCTTTCACCATCCATCACACCTAGGACTGCTCTTTCTTTCTCATCTGCCTTCACCAGCTCACCACTGCCCATCCTGTAATCCAGTTTTAACTCACTGCTAATGCCAATTCTTTCTCCATCTCAAATGCATTAATTTGCTGTTCTGAATAGATTAGCCATGTTGCAATTGCCCCGTTCCACAAACTCTCCAAGATAGAGTTCCACCCGCAATGCCACACAAACCCTACAACTGCTTCATGGCCCAGGATATCCACCTGTGGACAACGCCCACGAATCAATCCTTTCTTCTTTGTTCTCTCCAAGAACTCATCTGGAAAGATCTCCTCAATATTGGTGTATTTCCTTGGTGCTTTGACTTTGCCTTTTCCCGGTGTCCTTGCGCACTGACCACAAGAGCCTGAACCCGCTACGCTCAAGCCCACTTGCAATTTCAATTAGTTGGGGTTCATCGAAACTCCCCAAGCTTCCAAAGCACAAGAAAACAACTGATGATGGAGGCTGATGATCAAGCCATTTCATGATCTCATCGTTTTGAGCTTTATGAGTATGAAATAAAATCTTCTGACCCTTACCAATTAGTGGTCCAAGCGGGTAGATGGGTGGTGTAGATATGGAATATTCCATCAAGGACTTGAGCGCATGTGATTCAAGCTCTTCCAATGTATTCAATAATACTTCAACCTCCTTGAATCTTCTTCCATAGTTCAGCAATGAAAGATAACCAACATGCTTGTTGAATAAGAATGAAGGCAAAGCTCTAGTAGGCACAGGTCCTGCATAACCTGGGATGATTGACTCAGGATCCGATTCTTCAAACTCGTGACCAATCTGATCATGTCGGCTTGGAAGGTACAACATGAGGCTAAGGAACGCTGCAGTCGAGGTGAAAAACAAGTACAAAGGAATACAAAGTTCTTTCCCTACGTCAATCATGGCAGTACAAAAGAAGTCCAAAACCAAGCCAACAAGTGGAACTGAATTGGAGGTCGAATCAGGTAAAACATGGTTGATTATAGCATCTCTGACATGGGATTTATGGCTCTCTACAAAATCAGAAAAAAAAAAAAAAACCTTTTCTGATGATTTAGAGAAAAGATCTAGTGAAGGAGTATCCCCGAGGAAGACTGAAAAATTGTGTACGATAATCGGATGATGCAGCTAGAGTTTGAGTGTATGCATCTGAATCGGGGACAAAAGGCGTCGGAATGACAAGAATTGTTACTGAAAATTGATCATATCGATCAAACAGCCACTTTGCAAACTCTAAAATAGGCGCCAGGTGACCAATTCCTGGAATGGGGACAAATATTAGCTTGGCTTTTCTCATTTGCAGCGGCAGTAGATGGTGGTGTTAATTTGGTTGGTGTGCTGTACTTCTACTGCTCTTTTCTTTCTTATAACATTATTGAGTCTTTAATTCTATGTCAACAAAATGTGTGTTTATAATTATACTAGTACTATTATATTAAAAAAATATATATATATATTAATAAAAGAGAAATCTACTTATTTATTAATATATATATTAATAAAAGAGCATGCATATATATATTTATTCATTTTATTCATTTTGCTTTTATGGATATATATGATAAGCATTATGAAAAAATAAAATAAAATAAAATATTAATTGATCTCTTCAAAATTAAATATTAAGATTCTTTACTGTTAGAACTATATATATATATATATATATTTTTGAATCAAAATGGTTAAATGTATGTGTTATGAATTTAACTTTGATCTAAGGATGAAAAAGTGTATAATTCTTACACAAATGTAAGTGAATAAATATATATATATATGAATAGTGATTCATTTGCATTAGTGTAATTCTTACTTTTTTTGAATCTTTAGATCAAAATTACTAAATTTAAAAATTTATTATATTTAAATGAATCACGGATTTAATTTTGATTTAAGGGTAAAAAAAAAAAAGTGTACATTGATGTAAGTCTTATACTTTTTTATGTCAATATGTGATTTCTTCCTTGAACTATATCATGATTAAGTATTCAAATTTTATTTTGGTCAAGCATTTTGCTCTATACACTAATTCTATTAATAGTAAGATGATGTGATTAAAAATAACAAATAATATAATGATATGTGGTATATTTTTATTTGTAAATATTTACCACATTTGCATTTTAACTAATAGTATTAGTCAATAATGCAAAATATTTAACAAAAATAAAATTTGAATATATAATTATAAAATTTATTTATAAGTATCAAATTATTGAAAATAGTATACAAATTACGTATTAATCTTTATTTTTTATTTTTTATGTTTTACCATGAAATCGAAGCATTGATGGTAACAAGAAATTAAAGAAAGTGAATTACAATGACATTTGAACATTTGTTGCTTTTAGCAGAAATAAGGTGCTTAAACTATTGATTAAAAAAATCTTTCTATGGGTATATGATGTTGACTCTGTCTCCTTCTTTTTAATTAAATCATGACAGTAAGCATGAGAAACATTTGATTTATGAAATTTTAGATTTTGACGAATGTATTATTTTTGAAAAAGTGTGATTTTCAAATAAATATAATTTTTTTATGACATTTAATTTTTAAATTTTTTTAATTGATTGGGACAATTTGAAATATTTAATTATATATTTTTATTATAATATCTTTCATTATATAACAAACATAATAATTTGTCAAACAAAAATAATCGATAAATAATATGTTTTAAATTGTAAAAGTATAGTATTCGATTGGTCAATTATAAAAAAAATTAATCATCAATTACTGCATTAATTTTATATAGTAATTGATTACACATGTATTTTAAAAAATTAAAATGAACAATTATTGCATTTAACTTTTAAAGAAATGTAATAATTAATTAATTTTTAAAAAATAATATATAATTACTGCATTTATCTTGAAAAATCATAATATTTGATTATTTTAAATAAATTATAATGATTAATAACTACATTTATCTTAAAAAAATGTAATAATTAAGATTTTTTATTAGAAAAATACTATTTGTTATATTGGTCAAATCCAAATAAGTTAATGAGGCTTGAGATGGAGCAAAGGTGACAAAAAAACCAAAGATGCACGTAAAATTCACAATAAATAATCTAAGGTCCCGGAATCTAATACTACATTTAACTTCTAAAATATACAATAAATAATTCACAATTATTACATTTTAAAGATTCAAAACGCAACATTCGAGTAAAATTTTATCAAAACAAAGTTGTTGAGACGAGACCATCTTTCAAAGTTCAAAGCAAAGTCGTGCTCATCAATTTCTTAAATGGAGCAAGTCTGCCAAATGCCAAGTTATAAAGTGCTATTAAAAAAATGTTGTTTTCTTGGATTTAACATCGAGCAGATGCCCCCGCAAATCAAGGAGCCAATTACTGCATTTCTATTAGTTAGATACTGCATTTTTATTTAAAGGAAAATAATAAATAGTCATAATTATTTATATTTTAAAGTTTTCAAATATAATATTTGAGTAAACAAAATATAAAAATAATTTATGACTAATCAAATATTTTGTTATTATTCAAAGAAATATAATAAATAATCACAATTATCACGTTTCAAGCCTCCAAACATAATATTTAAGTCAAAAAATATAAAAAAACAAATATTATGTTTTGTTCATAAAAAACATATCATTGTATTAAAAAAAATTCTAAAAAAAATTTATAATTACTGCATTTTCTTCTCTAAAAACGTCGTATTTGACATTAAAAAAAAGTGAATACATTAAAATTTTCAAGAAATACTATATTTGAGATATATATTTTCAATTCTGTGTTTGTAAATAAAAAATCAAAAGTAAAGATTTTTTATATGTTGATTTTTAAAATAGTAAAATACAAAAAAATATATTTTATTTAGGTCAAATGTGAATAAAAATAATTTTTTTCAAAATTTTAAAAATTAGAAAAAAATGAATTTCTGACTTTGAAACTTTTTAATACTGTTAAAAATATAAAATTACCCCAAAAATAAGATATTCATGAACTGAGAACCACGTTCCTCATGATTAAAAAATGTCATAAATTATTCATAAATTATAAAAAAATATTTAATGTGTTATTTAAATTTTAAAAAATTTTAATATAATAATTAAATTATAAATTTATTAAATAATTTATTATTTAGATGATTATTTAACATCCATATACCATCCTTTAAAGCTAAAGAAGTTTAATGTTAAAGTTAAATAACATATTTATCAATAAATTTTTAATTCTATAATTTAAAACTTAAAAAGTATTATGAGAGGTTACCCATTCTAACGGTTCTGTTTTCATCTAAATTACCGAAAGTTCTCCAATACATTTGATCTCTTTTTCAATTCATTCATTTTGAATGTATATACGAAACATTTTAATTTAATTGATTTATATACCATCTAAATGACTATTACACGTTAATAAAAAATTTAAATATTTAAATATTTTTATGTTATATTTTGATATTATTATTAAAAAAATACGTTTTATCTTTTTTTTTTTTTTCTTATTACCCAAATACAATTATTCTGAAACTTTGTACATATATGATTTGCTCCTAAAGAAATGACTTTAACTAATAATTGTGATATAACCAACTATAAAATTAAAAAAAAAAAAAAGATAAACTTTTGCATGATAAAAAAATTTTGAGCAATATCAATGCAACCATAGTGTATATTAAAAAAAAAAAACTTGTAGAAGATTTTTGTTCATCCCAAATCTAACTCAAAATTGGATAATTATTTTTTATATCTAATCCTGATCTAACATATATATATATATATGTATGTATAATCCATATCTGACTTGTTTTGATAAAAAATCATTTAATAATATAACTTTCATAAAAATATTATTTTTAATATAAATTACATTTTAATTATATATAAATATAATATTTTATTAAATTAATATATTAAATAATAATGTCATTAATATAATACATATATATAATTAAAATTAAAAATAATAAAAAATAATTTTATATATCTCGGGATAAGATGTGACAAAGCACCTTAAATTTGCTTATAACCTAATCTCGATTTTCAAAAAAAAAATAATCAATACAAGCTCAACCCAATCCTAATTTTAAAAAAAAAAATCATCCATATCGATTGGCGCAAGTAAGAATCCTTCAGATATAAGTTATTTTATCATCTCTACTTTTAATGGCCCATTTTTTTAACAATATTTATCTAATTTGAAAAAGAATAAAAGGCAAGAATTAAAAAATAAAAAATAAAGGGGATGACAAAGAAACCAAATAAAGATGCTATATGGACATCACTATCAATCAAATATCTTTCAAAACATAATTAAAAAAAAACTAAAATAGATAATTAAAAATAGCAAAAAATAAAAAGAAGCTAAAATCAAAAAATAAAAAAAAAATAAAAAGGGTAAATGGCTAAAGAAGAAAAAGTCAAATTGGAGTGTCATATGGACATCTCTATTTAGAGATGATAATAGATAGAGTCAAAATGTGTTTAAACCTGTTTCAACATCGACTTGATTTTTTTAATAATCCTATCAAACTTTAAATTTAACTTGATATCAAGTTATTATATTTTTACATGAATTCAACCTGATACATATATAAGCAGCATACATTTGATACAACTCGACCCAAAATTGATTCAATAATTTTAATTTAATATAATGTTTATCAAAATATTATTTTTTATTTAAATTAATCTTATATAAATACAATACTTTTATTAAATTAATGCATTAAATAATAAATTTATTAATATAATACATATATAAATATAAAATTAAACAAATAATAATATATATTTTTGTATATACCATAGGATTGAGCATCTTAAATTTGCCTTTGACCTTATCACAATTTTTAAAAGGAAAAAAAACTACCTCGCCCCTACCCATTCTCGATTTTAAAAAATCACCTAATTGAATCAAGATTGATCAAAACTTGTCAAAAATGGATTCTTTTATTATTCCTACCTCCATCAATTTTTTTCTTACAAAATTTACCTAATTAAAAAATAAAAAAACTAAAAAATAAAAAATAAAAAGAAAAAAGAAAAGGAAACCAAATGAGGGTGGCATATGAACATTTTCATTGGCTTATTTTTCTTATAAAACTTAATGTATAGATTTAAAAATAAAAACAAAAAAAGGCAAAAAAATTCGATTGAATCATCATACCTCCATTGATGTTTTTCTTACAAAATTATCTAATTAAAAAAAAGGATAAAAAAGTTTTTCTAATGAATAATATTAAATGGATCACACAAAATTTCAACAAGATATAAAAAATTATTTACTAAATATAAAAGGAAGAAAAGAAAAAATAAATTT